GTGTACCTCAGGATACCTTCCTGGTCTTTCTACCTCCTTATCACAACGAGGCGAAGTTCATGGGGCACATCCATAGACAACAGGCCTGAGCAGAGTGATGGGCAGAAAACACTCAGGGAACTGCAACTGAAGCTACCTTGGCAAGTCCCAGTGGTGAGCGCCCAAGACCTCTCAAGTGACAGGGAGTATCAGCAAAGCCCAGGGCGAACACCAGAGGTTACACCAGACCTCATGACAGAAGTGAGCGTCAAGTGGAAATAGGGAAGGAAGCCGGCGTAAGAAAGCAGAAGGCTGCTTCCCAGCACTGGTGGCTGAGCTGATGCCCGCCGCAGTCGGAGGACACGGAGCTGAGCACCCACCCCAGAGCAAGGTGAGTTTCAGTGCTTCTTATGACTGTGCCTGCTATGGAAGGCAGGGTGTGCAGAGGGAGGGCCGCTGCTCGGTGAGCCCAGGAAGGCTTGGTTAACCCAGGTGTCCAAGTTTCACTGCCATGTTCAAAGTGGCACTTACCAATCTGGTAGAACCTGTCACTTAAATTCACAAGGAGGAGGGGAAGTAATGGTACTGTTAAAGTACAAACACTGTATTATGTGCCTTAAAAATTCAAGCCAGAAACAACTAGCACCCTCTCCACAGATGTGTGCAAGGTGGGGAAGGAACACGGGGCACTAAGAGGTTCCCCAGCTGAAGTCTGGGGTTGTTTTGTTTTGTTTTTGTTTTTTGTTTTTGTTTTATGTTTTGGTACCAGGGATTGAACTCAGGACACTCGACCACTGAGCCACCTCCCCAGCCCTATTTTATAGTTTATATTTATTTTATAGTTTATTTTATAGTGAGACAGGATCTCGCTGAGTTGCTTAGGGCCTCGTTAAGTTGCTGAGGCTGGCTTTGAACTCATGATCCTCCTGCCTCAGCCTCCTGAGCTGCTAGGATTACAGGCATGAGCCAGCACTCAGCTGAAGTCTGTTTTTTAACAGTGTCCTGAATGGCCTTTGTTTGCTTTGTCTGTGTGCAGTCCATGCTGGAGCCGGCCAACGCCACTGGGATGCAGGGCTTCAATGGCTCTGAGCGTTGCCCCCGGGACACTCGGATCACCCAGCTGGTGTTCCCCACCCTCTACACGGGGGTCTTCCTGGCGGGTGCCCTGCTCAACACACTGGCCCTGTGGGCGTTCCTGCGCATCCCCAGCTCCTCCACCTTCGTTATCTACCTCAAGAACACTTTGGTGGCTGACCTGATAATGACACTCACGCTTCCTTTCAAAATCCTCTCTGACGCGCACCTCGGGCCCTGGCAGCTCAGAGCATTTGTGTGCCGCTTCTCCTCCGTGGTCTTCTACGAGGCCATGTACGTGGGCATCACGCTGCTGGGCCTCATAGCCTTTGACAGGTTCCTCAAGATTGTCAGACCTTTTGAGAAATCGTTCGTGAAAAAACCTGCTTTTGCAAAAACGGTCACAGTCTTCGTCTGGCTCCTTCTCTTCTCCATGTCCCTGCCGAATATGATCCTGAATGACAAGGAAGCAACTCCAGTGTCTGTGAAAAAGTGTGCGTCCCTGAAGGGCCCTCTGGGGCTGTGGTGGCATCGGCTGGTGAACTACGTATCCCAGGGCATTTTCTGGACTGTGTTTGTCCTAATGCTTCTGTTTTATATGGTGATTGCCAAAAAAGTCTATGATTCTTATAAAAAGGTCAAAAGTAAGGATGGCCAAAGCAAGAAGAGGCTGGGGGGGAAGGTGTTCGTGGTCTTGGCTGTCTTCTTCCTGTGCTTTGCCCCATTTCACTTCACCCGTGTCCCCTACACTCACAGCCAAACCAGCAGCAAGAAGGACTGTGCGCTGGAGAACCGGCTTTTCATTGCAAAAGAAACGACTCTCTTTTTGGCAGCAACTAACATTTGCATGGATCCTTTAATATATATATTCTTATGTAAAAGATTCACAGAAAGGCTGCCTTGCATGAGGTGCAGGAGGGCCTCACACCAGGAGCAACAGAGCAGCCAGACAGACCACATAACCCTGGGCTGACCGCTGCCACTGGGCTCGCGGCCACATGGCCACAAGGCTTCAGAAACCATCTGTGTGGAGACCAAATTTAAGCAATAAAGAAAAAGAGATGGGAACAAATGCTTCCTTGCATGATGACCCCAGGTGTACACAAACGATCTTGTGAAGTTTAACTCCTCGTGAACCTATTCATAAAGCCACAACAAGAGGATGCAAGGGAAAGCAAAGGGCCACTCGAGGCCACCTTCCCAAGGACATCCCCTGAGTATTTGGGATAAGATGAGGGAAATGCAGACCCCTAAAAGCCTCCCCTCCAAACACCACCTCACATTCACTCACACACATGATCCAAACAGCCGCATGGCTTCATAGCCCTCAGATCAATTATCGCTGAGGGAAGCAGCAAACTAACTTGTAAAGGCCATAGGTGGGAGCTGAGCCAGAAGTGAAAGGGATGCTGGACACAAGGGGTCTGAGGGTCCCCTTGGGTTGACTGAGATCCTGCAGGAAGGATTTTCTCCCTGCAGTTACAAAGAGATTGCTCTGTGTCCCACAGCACAGCACAGATCTATGACATGAGTACCCCACCCAGCTGACACCCAGTTACACACGGCTCTGCCACCAGGACGCTGGGAGCTCAGCAAGCACTCCTGGCCTCGTGTCAACTCAGCTGCCCCGCCACCGGCCTCTCCCACTGTGGGGGACACGTTAGGGTCCTCCCCTCCTGCAGGTCTCCCATACTAACAAGCTGCGGGTCCTGACTGTGTGATGGTTAGGGTTCCTGAAAGACAGGTTTGAAGTGGGCCATGCTGTTCTTGGTCCAGGTAAGTGATGTGGTTGCTGACCCACAGTCAGTGACATTCACGTGGGGGACATGGCCAAGGCTACTTATCCTTATCTCCCTCCACAGTTTTTCTTGGATTCCTTTGTGGGTCAAAAAAAAAGTAAAATGTGCTTTCTGGAATTGTAGATGCTAATTTATATCTCCTAAAAGAAAACACACAGAGGAGGAGCTGTCCTCTGTAGATGGGCCACTGACTCCACCAGGAGCACAGCCAGGTGAAGCCCAGCGGCCTCATGGCCAAAGGCCCTAGCCTGCCTGCCTTCTGGAAGCATCTGTTCCCACTCCTGATCTTTACTGTTCTCTATATACTGTAACTGTCAGTTTGTCAAGAGCCACGCTTCTGGTCCTGTGCACATGTGAGTCCCCTGTGACTCACCTAGGAAAGTCTCATCCACCTGCAAAACCCCAAGGGGCCATCACTCACTGCCTGGCATCTCACAGGCCAGCTCCCACAGCAGCACAGCCCAGTTGGCCTACCTCTGTGCACTAGCTCAGCTCCATCACTGTGCTGGGCACTCTGCCTGGCAATTGCACCCAGATATGTATCAGTGCTCTGAAAAACCTGCATATATTTTTGAGGGCAGAGACTGTCTCATCATACAATTAATAAAACAAATCAAATGAGTAAAACAAATCAAATGAGTCTTACTGTTATGTCCTAGAGGAGCAAAAGGGAAGTCAGTTCTCATTGATGTTTTATCAAAAGATGAAATAAATTCTTGAAAAGAAGGTGCCAATCTTTCATTGCTCTGCTAGGGCTCAACACAAGGGCCCAGGGGTGTTGGTGCCCTGGGCTGCTCTCCTAGGGCTCACACACACCCAGGCCCAGGGGTGCTGGTGCCCTGGGCAGCTCTCCTGGGGCTCACAAATACTCACAGGCCCAGGGGTGCTGGTGCCCAGGATACTCTCCTAGGTCCCACACACACAGAGACTTCAGAGGTGCCCTGGGCTGCTCTCCTAGGGCTCTCACACACCTAGGCCCGGAGGTGCTGGTGCCCTGGGCTGCTCTCCTAGGGCTCTCACACACCTAGGCCTGGGAGTGCTGGT